GAAAGGAAAGGAAAGGAAAGGAAAGGAAAGGAAAGGAAAGGAAAGGAAAGGAAAAAGGAAAGGGGAAAGGAAAGGAAAAGGAAAAGAAAAGAAAAAGAAAAAGAAAAATGTCAGGCTCACTTGGAAAGAGAAATGAGTTTAAAAACTAAAATGACATTGTAATCTAAAAGCAATAGTTGATGATTGGTTTTAAGGGAAGATTAGACACAGTAGAAGAGAACAGTGGTGACAGAAAAAAAAAAAACAGTTCTGTCCACAGTAAAAGTTAGAGAAAGAAATGTGGCAAAAAGAAAGTAGACTGTGGAGCATCAGGAACAGAAAAACAAAAAGGCTCAATAAAAAGCAGGAAGTGAGCTGAGTGCCAGCATTCACTGTTCTCCAGGTGACAGACTGTGCCTGGCCGCTTCAGGACAGTGCCGCTGACTTCCTATCCTGATGCACTGTGCCCTCAAACTGTGGGCCAAAACAAATCCTTCCTTGTTGAGACTGCTTTTGCTCAAGTGGTTCATCATAGCAATGGGAAAAGAAACACACTTTGTCAAATACAATAAAGAATTCAAAATACACTTATTTAAAAATTCCCAAAATGCCTAAATAAAATAAAACAGAACACACAGGAGCAAATGCTGAGACAAGAGATGAGTAAAAATATCTTAAATGTAATATGAAAAAGCTCTGAGCACGTCAAGATCCAGGCCTGAGCTTCCACCTTGCATATCACTAAAGGAACATCTCTCTAGAGACGCACAGGCTCCACCTATGAAGATGAGCAGCACCAGCTACCGAGCAGAGCTTGCTCAGAACTACCAGGACCCTCTCCAGAAGGGATGATTTGGAAATCCCTATGTTTCTACTAAGTAACTGGGTTTGTAGTTAAAATCTTCTCACAAACCAGACCGTGGTGGAGCACACCTTTAATTCTAGCACTTGGGAGGCAAAGGTAGACGAATTTCTGAATTTGAGGCCAGCCTGGTCTACAGAGTGAGTTCCAGGACAGCCAGGGCTACACAGAGAAATCCTGTCTCAAAACAAAATAAAATAAAACAAAAAGCCCAAAACTTACTACAAAGAAAAGTCCAAGCCTGGGAGGCCTCACTGGTGAACTACAGGGAACCTCCCTCAAGAGACCATGAAAATCAAACCCAGCACACACACAGCTCAGAGACACTCATTGCTCTTCTCCGGGGACACAGTGGGTGTTCTTTTCCCCTCCCCTTATTTTCAGGCTTGCCAGAGGCTAAGAAGATGCAGGTATGGCCTAGGAGGGAGCAGAGGGAACACAGCCAAGCACACACATGTCTTCTTCCACACAGTACTTACAGCTCGTCCTCAAAGCAGATCTTGGCATACTTGTCTCGGCCACCTCCGCTGAGCAGCCGGAAGGCATAGGTGTCTGGAGGGCATGGGGTCCAGTGGTCACATTTTTGCCTTTTGGGGACTGGAGCTATAAAGACAAGAACAAGACAATTACAGCCCTTCTCAGAAGTGACCGCTGTGTGTCACTAGTGCCAACAGCTCCATTCCAGGACCTATGTGGTGGGGAGACCCTAGAAGCAAAGTGAGCAGCTGCGTTTGGATCCTGGGAACACTTGTTAAGACAAATGGCTGATGTTGCCTGACACTGTCTTCCAGTAACAGCCTGGATGCTGAGCCTGGGTACCGAGTCTTGGTACTGAGCCTGAGTACTGAGCCTGGGCAGCCATTTCAAAGATGTTAGGATTACTGCCTGCAGCTCACAGCATGCCAAACACGAGTGGACACAAGCTTTCAGGTCGCAACAAACATGAAGCACCCTTCAGGCCATGTGACCCTGGAAGATATACATAACATGTCCACCCCACAGCAACGGAATGCATGCTTCTCTCTCACCCACACAGAGAACATTTTCCATACTTGACCTTTGCCAGAACACCAGAAGCCACTAGAACATTCTCCAATGAAGAGCTTGTGTAAGAGAAGAAAAGAAGACTCAGCCAAGTTAAGAAGATTGAAAGAATATTGAAATGTTTCCTTGGGCTTTAGAACTGGCTCAGTGGTTAAAAGTACTGGTTATTCTTGGGAAGAACCAAGTTTCAATTCCCAGCACCCATATGGAAGCTCACAATCCATAGCCCTTAACTCAAGTTCCAGAAGATCCAATGCTCTCTTCTGGCTCCACAGGCACTGTACCCACATGGAGCATGAACATTTACACAGGCAAAACACCCATACACAAAAAAATTGTTTCCATCTATTTATTTGTTTGTATTATTGTTATTTTGTTTGTTTGGTTTGTTTTGTTTTTGACCATACAGAGTCTCTCTGTGTAGCCCTGGCTGTGTAGGAACTGGCTGTGTAGATCAGGCTGGCTTTGAACGCAGAGGTTAGCCTGATTCTGCCTCCCAAGTACTGTGATTAAAGGTGTGAGCCACCAGTGCCTGGCTTGTCATAATTAATTAATTAATTAATTAATTGATTGATTGATTGATTAATTGATTGATTGATTGATTGATATAGTGTCTCACTGTGCAACTTTGGCTGTCCTGGAACTCAGCTGGCTTCAAACTCAGAGAAATCCACTGCCTCTGCCTCCTAGGTGTTGGGAATTAAAGGTATTTGCCACCATACTGGCTAAAAAAATTTTTTTAATCTTTTACAATGTTTTAAATGCTTTATGACAACATGATAGTGAAATGAGAAATGAGACATTTCAGAAGCTGTGGAAATACACAGAAGCTAAACAACAGAGTCCTGAGCATAGCAAAGGAGAAAACCTAAAACATCTTATTAGGACAGTATGCCTCCTGCAGCCTCAGTACTTGGGAGACTGAGGCAGAAATTGCTGTGAGTTCAAAGTCAGCCTGTGCTTTGGATTGTGACTCTGCCTCAATCAATAAGACAGTACCCTGAGACAATGAAAACAAAATAAAAAAGATACTAAAATGTATGGAATCCAGGAAAAGTAACTTCAAAAGAGATGTTTACAGCAAAAAAATCCACGTGAAGGAAGAGGGAGACTCTGAGGTAAATACCCTGGCATTTACCTCAGGGAACCACAACAAGGAGGAAAACTAAGCCTGTGGCAGAAGGACAGAAATAAGACAGATCTGAGCAGAAAGGGGTGAAATAGTGAAGACTAGGGAGTAACAGAAAAGATCAATGGAGTAAAGACTCATTTTATAAAAAAAAAAATAACAGCAAAATCGGCATGCCCAAAGCTAGAGTTTAAAAAAAAGAGAGAGGGGTTAGAGTCAAATAAATCATGTACTAAAGAAGAGTAATTTGGTGCCACAGGCCAGAGGGCTACTATTCAGATGATCAGTCCTCAGACCACGACGGGGTGGCTCTAGAAGAACTCCATACATTCTTAACAACCTGCCAAGACCAAACCATGAAGAAATAGAAAACCAAACAGACTAGTTCCTAACTGGCTGAACCACTAATAAAAAGTCCATCATCAGACAAAAGCCTAGGACCAGATGGCTCTCCACTGCATATATGTAAAGGCCCCATGTACCAGTCCTTCTCAAACTCTTCAGAAAACTGAATAGGGGTGTTTCCAAACCCATTACAGAAGGCCAGCATTACCCGATGCTGAAGCCAGGTGTGGACACTGCCAGGAAATAAAATTACAAGCCAAGTTCTCTGAGGACCATAGACCCAAAAATCTTCCACAAAATACCACCAGACCAGTGCAGCGGCACACCGACGGGCCACATCACAGCAAAGGGAGATCTTTCCTCAGTGTGCAAGGGTGTTTCAACACTCACAGTCAATAAACACAAGAACATGCACACAAGATGAAGGGAACAGGCCCCATTGGGGTATCAACAGATAAGGGGAGGAGGAAACGTGAGAAAATGTAACATTTATGATAAACTCTCAATGGATTAAACATAGATGGGCTCAGCACAGCGAGGGCTGCATTGGTGTTGAGAGTCAAGAGTCAGAGCTGGGAGATTTTCTCTAAAAGTAGGAACTAGTTACTCCATTTTAGCACATCTATTGAAAGTGAAAGGTCAAAATAAGACAGGAGGTGATATGGTCTGTTTGCTATGGGCATGGTCCAATAGAGAGAGCACCTGATTCCATGAAAAACTGTTGAAACTGACAAATCAGTAAACCTTTAGGACACAAAATGCACACACACACCCCAGTATTAATATTCCTGTACACTAACAATAATCTATCCAAGAAAAACTGAGGAAAATGTCTAATTTATAATTGCTATAAAACAGTAAAATACTTAGAAATAAATTCAACCAAGGAAGCAGATGCCCTGTATGTTGTAAACTATACAACAGAAACGGAAACAAAAGTAGTTGTAAGTAGCATGGCCTATTTGTGAAACAGAACAATTAATATTCTGAAATTATGCATACTCCTCAAAGTGATTCACAGATACAAAATCGTCCAATGTCATCCTTCACCGAAATAGAAGGTTTATGTGGAGGGCCAGCAAGATGGCTGAGTGGGTGTGGCTGTCTACTGTCAAACCCCATGACCAGGGCTGTCCCCAGAACCACAGGGTAGAAGGTAAAGCTGACTCCCTGGAGGTTTTCCCTGACCTCTGCACATGTGCTGCTCACAGGCACATACACATACAATCAATCAATCAGTAAAATGAAAGAAAAACAGAAATTTTGTATGGGACCACAAAAGACTTCTTTTTTCTTTTTAATTTTTATTTAATTTTATTTTTAATTACACTTTATTTACTTTGTATCCCCCATCTAGTTCCCTTCCTCCTCCCCTCCCAATCCCTCTCTTCCTCCCCCTTTTCCACGTATGCCCCTCCCCAAGTCCACTGGTAGGGGAGGGTTTCTTTTTCTTCCTTCTGATTCTAGTCTGTTAAGTCTTACCAGCAGTGGCTGCATTGTCTTCATCTGTGGCCTGGTAAGGCTGCTCACCCTCAGGGGGAGGTGATCAAAGAGCAGGCCAATCAGTTCATGTCAGAGACAGTCCCTGTTCCCATTACTATGGAACCCATTTGAACACTGAACTGTCATGGGCTACATCTGTGCAGGGGTTCTAGGTCATCTCCACGCATGGTACTTGGTTGGAGTATAAGTCTCAGGAAAGACCCCTGTGCTCAAATTTTTTGGTTCTGTTGCTCTCCTTGTGGAGCTCCTGTCCTCTCCAGATCTATTTCCCACTTCTTTCATAGGATTCCCTGCATTCTGCCCAAACTTTGGCCATAAGTATCAACATCTGCTTTGATAGTCTGCAGGGCAGAGCCTTTCAGAGGCCCTCTGTGTCAGGCTCCTAACTTGTTCCCTGTTTTCTTCTTCTTCTGATGTCCATCCTCTTTGCCTTTCGGGATGGGGATTGAGCATTTTAGTCAGAGTCCTCCCTCTAGATTTCATTTCTTTAGGTGTACAGATTTTAGTAGGTTTATCCTATATTATATGTCTATATGAGTGAGTATATACCGTGTGTGTCTTTCTGCTTCTGGGATAGCTCACTCAGGATGATCTTTTCCAGTTCCCACCGTTTAGCTGTAAATTTCATGATTTCCTTCTTTTTCATTGCTGAGTAATATTCCATTGTGTAGCTGTACCACAATTTCTGTATCCATTCTTCAGTTGAAGGGCATCTGGGTTGTTTTTAAGCTTCTGTTTATTACGAACAAAGCTGCTACAAACATGGTTTGTCCTTATTGTATACTTGAGCCTCTTTTGGATATATGCCTAGGAGTGGTATGGCTGGATCTTGAGGAAGCGCTATTTCTCATCTTATGCCCATCAGAACGGCCAAGATCAAAAGCTCAAGTGCCAACACATGCTGGAGAGGTTGTGGAGAGAGGGGAGCCCTCCTCCACTGCTGGTGGGAATGTAAACTGGTACAAGCACTCTGGAAATCAATCTGGCGCTTTCTCAAAAGACTCTTAACAGCCAAAGAAACGTAGAAGTAGTATGTAAACTGTATTACAAAGCTTTAGCAATCGAAACAACATGGTAAAGACAAAGTATCACCCAATGGAATAGGAGAGAGCCCAGAAATAACCTCCACATTCGGTCTTTCAATTGTTGGCAGAAATAAATTGACACAAAGAGAAGAAAGAGACTATTTAATAAATGGTGTTACAAAATAGACATTATCATATAGATAGATAAAACCAAGTTATCTGCTATCTTACACAACAGCAGGAACTCAAAATGGAGCAAAGACTTGGGTATAAAAACAGAAACTGTAAAACATGGGAAAAGCTGTAATCATGTTGACCAGGCAATGACCTTTCAAAAATGACCTCAAAAGCACAGAGGCACAGGCAACAGAAGAGAAAGTAGACAGAAGAAAGAAAGGCACAACCAACAAAACAGAAAATAGTTCTGGACCAGTCATCTGATACAGGACTAAGGTCCAAAGTACATAAGGAACCCCAGTAGTTAAATGTCATGAGGTTTTAAACCTGATTTTAAGACGTGCAAAGGGGTGGCCAAGATGGAATCCACACGCCATCCC